TTACTTTAAAATGAAAACACCCTTTGAAATGAAAATCTGAGAAGCTAAGGGTATAAAATGTAAGATATATATAATATCTGGTTGCATATGGTGCCTATTATTGGGATGGCAACACAATAACTGGGGCACCAGTGCTAGAAATAGGCTATCTCCTTTTTGGTAATCCATTTCACTTCATTTGTTGGAGAAAAAACTAGTGATTGGACAGTTGATTCCATCTCACTTCAGTCTCACTGACACTGCATCATAAGTCTATTGTGATCTATTGCATCCATTCTGTTCCACTGTATGTATTTAGGACACATCTTGAGGACACTTCTCTCTCCGCCCCCCCCAATAAAACACACACCTCTCAGTGCTCTTAAATGCATTCAATAATAATATGTGCGGTTTGTCTTCTACCAGAGATCCTGCCCCTCCCCATAGATCACCTACACCTGATGACACAGGAGCACTATTCCACTTGTGTATCCCAGAAACTAATATTTAGAGCAATACTGTATCTGATACTGGAGGGACACCACAGGCAGCATAGATTGTTCACATAAATTCATCTAATGCTCTTCAAAGCCACCCGAATTCTGCTCATTATAATGTCATAATTCTGCCAAAGTGCCTTGGACTGTAGCTGAAGAAAAACACTGAAGTCTCAGACATCAGTGCTGTCTGAGTAACTGACTATGCGTTTACTACAAGGGACACATATGCAGTGCACAGGAGCCAGGGATCTGCTTGGCTGGATGACCGATAGCATGATTCCCAACTGCTTGTGCACATAGAGGTTCTCATGAGTGATGATTCATGATGTGGAAGGGAATTTATGCCTCCCAGCCCTACAGACTCCGTAAGTACAGTATCTGGCTCTTCCTCTTTCAGAGAAGTGTAGGAGGCTCCACATGTTCTCTGTCCTCTCAATGTTTTACAAGGCCACTCAGACATGTGGTGAAGTGGCAGTGTCTCCATCATCATGGTGACTAGATTACCCCCAACCACCCCTATGAGACAAAAGTATCCTTCCCCCTTTTGCAAACTGGCCAACTATCGCCCAGTTTCAAATCTTCCATTTTTGTGCAAGGTGATTGAGCGGGTGGTTGCTGAACAACACCAGGCACACCTGGAGGATGCGGACCATTTTGATCCCTTCCAATCGGGATTCAGGCCTCATCATGGGACTGAAACTGCCTTGGTCACGCTGGTTTATGATCTGTGCTGGACTAGGGACAAAGGTGAGAGCTGTTTCCTATTTCTGCTGGATCTCTCAGCAGCCTTTGATACAATCGACCATAACATCCTTCTGGACCATCTAGAGGGGCTGGGAGCTGGGGGTACTGTTATACAGTGGTTCCGCTCCTTCCTCCTGGGCCATGTTCAGAAAGTGGTGGTGGGGGATGAGTGTTCACACTCCTGGGTCCTCACTTGTGAGGTGCCTCAGGGTTCCGTCCTCTCCCCCATGCTTTTTAACATCTATATGAAGCCGCTGGGAGAGATCATCAGGGGGTTTGGACTGGGTGTCCATCAATATGCTGATGATACCTAGCTCTACCTCTCTTTCAAATCAGAACCAGTGAAGGCGGTGAAGATCCTGTGTAAGTGCTTGGAGGCGGTTGGAGGATGGATGGTGGCTAATGGATTGAGGTGGAATCTTGACAAGACAGAAGTACTGTTCTTGGGGGACAGGGGGCGGGCTGGTGTGGAGGACTCCCTAATCCTGAATGGGGTAACTGTGCCCCTGAAGGATCAGGTGTGCAGCCTGGAAGTAATTTTGGACTCACAGCTATCCATGGAGGCTTAGGTCAATTCTGTATCCAGGGCACCCATCTACCAGCTCCACCTGGTACACAGGCTGAGACTCAACCTGCCCGCGGACTGTCTCGCCAGAGTGGTGCATGCTCTAGTTATCTCCCGCTTGGCCTGCAATGCCCTCTGCGTGGGGCTATCTTTGAAGGTGACCCAGAAACTACAACTAATCCAGAATGTGGCAGCTAGACTGATGACTGGGGGCGGCCACCGAGACCACATAATACCGGTCTTGAAAGACCTACATTGGCTCCCAGTACATTTCCGAGCACAATTCAAAGGGTTGGTGTTGACCTTTAAAGCCCTAAATGGTCTTGGCCCAGTATACCTGAAGGAGCGTCTCCACCCCCATCGTTCTGCCCGGACACTGAGGTCCAGCGCCGAGGGCCTTCTGGCGGTTCCCTCATTGTGAGAAGCAAAGCTACAGGGAACCAGGCAGAGGGCATTCTTGGTAGCGGTGCCCGCCCTGCGGAACGCCATCCCATCAGATGTCAAAGAGATAAACAACTACCTGACATTCAGAAAACATCTGAAGGCAGCCCTGTTCAGGGAAGTTGTTAATGTGTAACATTTTAGTGTATTTTTTGTCTTTGATGGAAGCCGCCCAGAATGTTTGGGGAAACCCAGCCAGATGGGCGGGGTACGAATAATAAATTATTATTAGTAGTATTATAATGCCTAGTGTTGCCTTCTGCTTGATTACCACAGGATTCCACAGGACCACCCACTTCTACCAAACAGCTATTGAATATTCATGTATTTTATTTAAATGAAGAAATCAGTAATCAAATTGATTATATATTTGGCTTCTATGGTATTATGTTGTTGTTGATGATGATGATGATGATGATGATGCCTCAGGTTTCCTCCAAACAGCTCAAGGTTGCATGCTGGGTTCTTCTTTCCCCTGTTATATCCTCAGAACAACCCTATGTTGCAGTTTGGGCTCAGAGATGGACCCAAGGTCACCCAGTGCAAAATCTTAACACCAAATAGTTTCCACTTGATGTGACAATTTCTGGACTAGGGTTTGAGTCAACAACATCTGCTCTGAAACACCATCAGAAGTTCCTCTAAGTTTTACAAGATCTGTGGAAAATATATGATTTGCTTGATCACCCAGCGGAAATCCTGACAACTTTTTCAACCCATAGAAGCCACTTGATTCTTTCTCTTTATACTATCCTCCAAATGGGATTTTGTGTAAACTAAGATTCACTTTACACCACTGTGATCTCTAGCACAATAATACATGCCGGTATCTTCAGCTTTCAGACCAGTCATATGTAGATAGATCAGCTTCTTGGAACTGTCTGTGAAGATTGTGAACCATCCTTTAACAGAATCTGCATAATACGTGCTGGCCCCATTAATTGCTGAGAGCCATTTGAGTCCCTTTCCAGGAGCTTGATGGACCCAGTGCATCCAGTAGCTGTCTATGTTGAATCCTGATGTTGTACATGTGAGTCAAAGGGACTCTCCAGGTCTTTTCACATCCCCACCAGATTCCACCAGAGAATCTGCATGGACACCTAGAAAGAGAGACAGATTGAGTTGCAAACTTTACGTATGGGTTATAAATACTTCCTGATAAATCACACCAACTGCATTCCAAACAAAGGGATTAAATACCCTTGAAAATGAAGAAGCTAAATATGAAATGTATCCACAGAATCATTTCTACTGGATTGTTTGGATGGAAAGCTGGTGTCTGTCTAACAGGATGAGGATATTTCCACAAGCTCAGCTGGAACCCACAGCAAGAGGGCGGCTCACATTTAAAGTGTGGACTGTTCCATTATTTGCATATCCTCCTCTCTATATAATATTTCCCAGAGGAGCTTTTTCAGTTGAAATGCTTCTCAGTCCTTAATGCTTTTGTTTCCATTTGCCTCTATACACATTGCCTTTGTGATTTTCTAAGCAGAACTTTTGGTCTGACATATTTTGCCCCAACATTAAGGACATATTTTTTATATATTTTATTCTATATTATCAATATTATAGGATCTCTACTCTGAATTTTTTTATGCCCGCCAATGCAAACAACAGAACTCCTGAATTATAATAGAATATCCTTTTTAAAATGCCAAAGAATCATGCAATAAAATCGTAGGGAAACAAAAGACAGGAGGTAGAAATAGATGATGAAAACAGTGATAATAGTATTAACATTTCCAAATGGAAATATAAGAGACTACCAAAATATGGAGTCACATGTACATAAGTAGTTTATAATGTGATCTTTTGCAATGAAAAGTTATTTTGGTTTATATTTGTATATTCTTAAAGGTTGGCAAGCCAGTGGCGGATCTTGGCCTCTCAGATTTCAGTGGTACCCTGTGTTACTCCAAAATCCTGCAACCCCCACCTCTCACCTTCCATTTGACATAATTGCTGTGGCACCTGCTGTGGAGTCCCAGAAGCTCTGCAGCCTTTGTGGCCAAACCTGTCGTGCTCCCCTAGATCTCTCTTTGTGTTTGTCCCTTGGCTAAAACTGATGATGTTCCACCTTTAAAAGTTCAAAGAAGCTAATGCCTTACAGACTTATTATGTTGTTCCCGTCAACATTGTACAGTTTTATGATATCTTATAATTACAATAGGTTTTAATGTATATTTTGTTGTTGCAAGGAGAACTGATCCGTATTAGACATAGGCAGGAATTGCATTTTTTTGTGTTGTTTTCTTCCCAGCTATTGCACAAATGTGAGCTTTGACGTCTCATCTACACGCTAGCATCAGGAACAGTTGCTGTGGATTGTAGCATTATGATATCTATTTTGTGTGTCCTATCACTATGGGAATTTATTCTGAAAATAAATAGCAAATAAAATTAGTATTTATTCTTTAGGACAAAATGTACTTAACCACCCTGAGACCTGTGGGTATAGGGCAGTATATAAATTCAGTTAATAATGATAATAATAATAATTTGCATTCCCACAAGAACTTGTCTAGCAGGGAAATAAAACCAGGCTAACTTATTTGATGCCAATAGCTTTGGGAACTAGGATAAGGAGTTTCTGCTACCTTTGTGGATAGATCGGGAACTAATGTAGAGAGACTTGATATGTATTTATTTGCTTGTGCTTTATTCAGCACAATCATTTGAACTGAAAGCTCTTCAGTGCCACCTGCAGTCTTTTAATTTAACACACAAAGGTTTTTGTCTGAGCTGGAATTCAACTTCCACCACTGTGTCTCTGGCACAGTAATAGACGGCAGTGTCTTCTGGCTTCAGGCTGTTCATTTGAAGATAAAGGTTGGTGCTGTCCTTGGAGGCAGTGAAACGCCCTTGGATGGTTGGGGAGTAGTAGTTGCTGGATGGGTTGTAATAGCGAACCAGCCATTCCAGCCCTTTCCCCGGAGACTGCCGGACCCAGTTCATCCAATAGCTGCTAAGAGCAAAACCTTTTGTGGCACAGGTTAACCTCACAGATTCTCCAGGCTTTTTCATTTCTGGGCCTGACTGAGTGAGGACAATCTGTGAACTGGCCCCTGCAGAGAGAAGAGACACGCTGCTTAACTGTGTGCAGTTTAAAGCAAACACACAAAAACAGGTATCACATCAGATTGAAACAGTGATCAAAAGTGAAAATAACTCCCCACACCACTAGTACATATAATTAAGATACAAAAGATTTGACTTACATGGCAACGTGCTTATAATCATGATGAAATGTAACAGCCACAACATTTTAAAAATTATAATGGGAGAGTTGAGGACCTAAATAAATTACTGAAGCAGATCCACGGAGCCTTGATTCAGTCTGAGGGATCTGGTGTTTACCTTTAAAGATGAAAAGAAAATTTTAGGTTTTGCATATTTTGGGCGGGCCTGGAAACATCTGATATAAAAGAGATGAGCCGTACTGGTCCTCAACTTCAGTATTTTATGGTTCAGTTGAAATTTGCCCTGCTGGACCTAGGATAGAACCTGTCTCCAAATCCTGCCTTGTTCATTTTGTGACTTTGCTGCAGATGGGTTATTTCCCCCTCCATTTTCATCATCACCTCAATGCATGAGTCCTCTAAGTTGGTTTACAAAGCACACCATAAATAAACACAAAGGAAGCAAATCAGTATTATATGTAAAAAAATGATGGCAATTTACTTTAAAATGAAAACACCCTTTGAAATGCAAATCTGAGAAGCTAAGGTTATAAAATGTAAGTTATTTATAATATCTGGTTGCATATGGTGCCTATTATTGGGATGGCAACTCCTTAACTGGGGCATCAATACCAGAAAATGGCCATCTTTCTTTTGGTAATCCATTTCACTTCATTTGTTGGAGAAAAAACTAGTGATTGGACAGTTGATTCCATCTCACTTCAGTCTCACTGACACTGCATCATAAGTCTATTGTGATCTATTGCATCCATTCTGTTCCGCTGTATGTATTTAGGACACATCTTGAGTACACTTCTCTCTCTCCCCCCCCCCAATAAAACACACACCTCTCAGTGCTCTTAAATGCATTCAATAGTAATATGTGTGGTTTGTCTTCTACCAGAGATCCTGCCCCTCCCCATAGATCACCTACACCTGATGACACAGGAGCACTATTCCACTTGTGTATCCCAGAAACTAGTATTTAGAGCAATACTGTTTCTGATACTGGAGGGACACCATAGGCAGCATAGATTGTTCACATGAATTCATCTAATACTATTCAAAGCCACCCGAATTGTGCTCATTATAATGTCATAACTCTGCCAAAGTGCCTTGGACTGTAGCTGAAGAAAACCACTGAACTCTCAGACATCAGTGCTGTCTGAGTAACTGACTATGCGTTTACTACAAGGGACACATATGCAGTGCACAGGAGCCAGGGATCTGCTTGGCTGGATGACCGATAGCATGATTCCCAACTGCTTGTGCACATAGAGGTTCTCGTGAGTGATGATTCATGATTTGGAAGGGAATTTTATGCCTCCCAGCCCTACAGACTCCATAAGTACAGTATCTGGCTCTTCCTCTTTCAGAGAAGTGTAGGAGGCTCCACATGTTCTCTGTCCTCTCAATGTTTTAGAAGGCCACTCAGTCATGTGGTGAAGTGGCAGTGTCTCCATCATCATGGTGACTAGATTACCCCCAACCACCCCTATGAGACAAAAGTATCCTCCCCCCTTTGCAAACTGGCCAACTATCGCCCAGTTTCAAATCTTCCATTTTTGTGCAAGGTGATTGAGCGGGTGGTTGCTGAACAACTCCAGGCACACCTGGAGGATGCGGACCATTTCGATCCCTTCCAATTGGGATTCAGGCCTCATCATGGGACTGAAACTGCCTTGGTCATGCTGGTTTATGATCTGTGCTGGACTAGGGACAAAGGTGAGAGCTGTTTCCTATTTCTGCTGGATCTCTCAGCGGCCTTTGATACAATCGACCATAACATCCTTCTGGACCGTCTAGAGGGGCTGGGAGCTGGGGGTACTGTTATACAGTGGTTCCGCTCCTTCCTCCTGGGCCATGTTCAGAAAGTGGTGGTGGGGGATGAGTGTTCAGACTCCTGGGTCCTCACTTGTGAGGTGCCTCAGGGTTCTGTCCTCTCCCCCATGCTTTTTAACATCTATATGAAGCCGCTGGGAGAGATCATCAGGGGGTTTGGACTGGGTGTCCATCAATATGCTGATGATACCTAGCTCTACCTCTCTTTCAAATCAGAACCAGTGAAGGCGGTGAAGATCCTGTGTAAGTGCTTGGAGGCGGTTGGAGGATGGATGGCGGCTAATGGATTGAGGTTGAATCTTGACAAGACAGAAGTACTGTTCTTGGGGGACAGGGGGCGGGCTGGTGTGGAGGACTCCCTAATCCTGAATGGGGTAACTGTGCCCCTGAAGGATCAGGTGCGCAGCCTGGAAGTAATTTTGGACTCACAGCTGTCCATGGAGTCTTAGGTCAATTCTGTATCCAGGGCACCCATCTACCAGCTCCACCTGGTATGCAGGCTGAGACTCAACCTGCCCGCAGACTGTCTCGCCAGCGTGGTGCATGCTCGAGTTATCTCCCGCTTAGACTGCAATGCCCTCTACGTGGGGCTACCTTTGAAGGTGACCTGGAAACTACAACTAATCCAGAATGTGGCAGCTAGACTGGTGACTGGGGGCGGCCACCGAGACCACCTAATACCGGTCTTGAAAGACCTACATTGGCTCCCCATACATTTCCGAGCACAATTCAAAGGGTTGGTGTTGACCATTAAAGCCCTAAATGGTCTTGGCCCAGTATACCTGAAGGAGCGTCTCCACCCCCATCGTTCTGCCCGGACACTGAGGTCCAGCGCCGAGGGCCTTCTGGCGGTTCCCTCATTGTGAGAAGCAAAGCTACAGGGAACCAGGCAGAGGGCCTTCTCGGTAGTGGTGCCCACCCTGTGGAACGCCCTCCCATCAGATGTCAAAGAGATAAACAACTACCTGACATTCAGAAGACATCTGAAGACAGCCCTGTTCAGGGAAGTTGTTAATGTGTGACATTTTAGTGTATTTTTTGTCTTTGATGGAAGCCGCCCAGAATATTTTTGGAAACCCAGCCAGATGGGCAGGGTATAAATAATAATTTATTATTAGTAGTATTTTAATGTCTAGTGTTGACTTCTGTTTGATTACCACAGCATCCCACAGAACCACCCACTTCTATCAAACAGCTATTGAATATTCATGTATTTTATTTAAATGTAGAAATCGGTAGTCAAATTGCTTATATATTTGGCTTCTATGGTATTATGTTGTTGTGGTGGTGGTGGTTGATGATGATGATGGTGATGATGATGATGATGATGCCTCAGGTTTCCTCCCAACAGCTCAAGGTTGCATGCTGGGTTCTTCTTTCCCCTGTTATATCCTCAGAACAACCCTATGTTGCATTTTAGGATCAGAGATGGACCCAAGGTCACCCAGTGCAAAATCTTAACACCCAATCGTTTTCACTTGATGTGAAAATTTCTGGACTAGGGTTTGAGTCAACAACATCTGCTCTGAAACACCATCAGAAGTTCCTCTGAGTTTTTACAAGATCTGTGGAAAATATATGATTTGCTTGATCACCCAATGGAAATCCCAACAGCTTTTTCAACCCTTAGAAGCCACCTGATTCTTTCTCTTTATACTACCCTCCAAATAGGTTTGTGTGCAAACTCAGATTCACTTTCCACCACTGTGATCTCTGGTACAATAATACATGCCGGTATCTTCAGCTTTCAGACCAGTCATATGTAGAAAGATCAGCTTCTTGGAACTGTCTGTGGAGGTTGTGAACCGTCCTTTAGCAGAATCTGCATAAGCTGTGCTGGCCCGATTAATTCGTGAGAGCCATTTGAGTCCCTTTCCAGGAGCTTGATGGACCCAGTGAATCCAGTAGCTGTCTATGTTGAATCCTGATGTTGTACATGTGAGTCGAAGGGACTCTCCAGGTCTTTTCACATCCCCACCAGATTCCACCAGAGAATCTGCATGGACACCTAGAAAGAGAGAGACAGATTGAGTTACAAACTTTACATATTTGGATTATAAGGGCTTCCTGATAAATCACACCAACTGCATTCCAACCAAAGGGATTAAGTACCTTTGAAAATGAAGAAGCTAAATATGAAATGTATCCACAGAATCATTTCTACTGGATTGTTTGGATTTAAAGCTGGTGTCTGTCTAACAGGATGAGGATATTTCCACAAGCTCAGCTGGAACCCACAGCAAGAGGACGGTTCAGGTTTAAAGCGTGAACTGTTCCATTATTTGCATATCCTCCTCTCTATATAATATTTCCCAGAGGAGCTTTTTCAGTTGAAATGCTTCTCAGCCCTTAATGCTTTTGTTTCCATTTGCTTCTATACACATTTCCTTTTTTTATTTTGTAAGCAGAACTTTTGGTCTGTCGTATTTTGCCCCAACATTAAGGACACATTATTTATATATATCATTTTATATTATCAATATTATAGGATCTCTCCGCTGATTTTTTATGCCAGTCATTGCTTGTTGAAAAGTGAGCAACAGAACTCCTGAATTATAATAGAATATCCTTTTTAAAATGCCAATGAATCAGGCAATAAAATTGTAGGGAAACAAAAGACAGGAGGTAGAAATAGATGATGAAAACAGTGATGATAGTATTCATATTTCTAAATGGAAAAATAAGGGACTTCTAAAATATGGAGTAACATGTACCTAAGTACAGTGGTACCTCAGGTTACAAACACTTCGGGTTACAAACACTTTGGGTTACAGACTCCGCTAACCTGGAAGTAGTACCTCGGGTTAAGAACTTTGCCCCAGGATGAGAACAGAAATTGTGTGCTGGCGGTGCCACGGCAGTGGGAGACCCCATTAGCTTAAGTGGTACCTCAGGTTAAGAATGGTTTCAGGTTAAGAATAGACCTCCGGAATGAATTAAGTTTGTAACCAGAGATACCACTGTAGTTTATAATGTGCTCTTTTGCAATGAAAAGTTGTTTTGGTTTTCATTTGTATTTCTTTAAGGATTGGCAAGTCAGTGGCGGACCTTGGCATTTCAAATTTCAGTGGTACCCTGTGTTACTCCAAAATCCGGCACCTTCCGTTTGACATCATTGCTGTGGCACCTGCTGTGGAGTCCCAGAAGCTCTGCAGCCATTGTGGCCAAACCTGTCATGTTCCCTGGATCTCTCTTTGTGTGAGTCCTTTGGCTAAAACTGGTGATGTTCCATCTCTAAAGCTTCAGAGAAGCTAATGCCTTACAAACTTCTTATATTGTCCCCCCCCCACACACACACACTCATACTGTACCATTTTATAATGCCTTATTTTACAATTGGTTTTTTTAATGTATATTTTATTGCTGCAATGAGAACTGATCAGTATTAGACATAGGCAGAAATAGTACTTTTTTGGGTGTTGCTTTCTTCCCGGCTATTGCACAAATGCGAGCTTTGACCTCCCATCTACACGCTAGCATCAGGAACAGTTGCTGTGGATTGTAGCATTATGATATCTATTGACAGATGTGTGTTGTATCACTATGGGAATTTATTCTGAGAATAGACGGTAAATAAAATTATTATTTATTGTTTGGGATAATATGTACTTTGGGACAAAATGTACTTAACTGCCCTGGGACCTTGGTGTATCGCACAGTATATCAATTTTAAAACAACAGCAGCAGCAGCAACGACAATGCTTTGCACTCCCACAAGGACTTGTCTAGCAGGAAAATAAAGCTAGGGTAACTCAATTGATTTATTTGATCCCAAGAGCTTTGGAGGCTAGGATAAGGAGTTTCTGCCACTTTTGTGGATAGATCGGGAACCAATGTAGAGAGACTTGATATGTATTTATTTGCTTGTGGTTTATTCAGCACAATCATTTGAACTGAAAGCTCTTCAGTGCCACCTGCAGTTTTTTAATTTAATACACAAAGGTTTTTGTCTGAGGTTGAGTTCATTTTCCACCACTGTGTCTGTGGCACAGTAATAGACGGCAGTGTCTTCTGGCTTCAGGCTGTTCATTTGAAGATAAAGGTTGGTGCTGTCCTTGGAGGCAGTGAAACGCCCTTGGATGGTTGGGGAGTAGTAGTTGCTGGATGGGCTGTGATACGAAACCAGCCATTCCAACCCTTTCCCCGGAGACTGCCGGACCCAGTTCATCCAATAGCTGCTAAGAGCAAAACCTTTTGTGGCACAGGTTAACCTCACAGATTCTCCAGGCTTTTTCATTTCTGAGCCTGACTGAGTGAGGACAATCTGTGAACTGGCCCCTGCAGAGAGAAGAGACACGCTGCTTAACTGTGTGCAATTTAAAGCAAACACACAAAAACAGGTATCACATCAGATTGAAACAGTGATCAAAAGTGGAAATAACTCCCCACACCACTAGTACATATAATTAAGATACAAAAGATTTGACTTACATGGCAACGTGCTTATAATCATGATGAAATGTAACAGCCGCAACATTTTAAAAATTATAATGGGAGAGTTGAGGACCTAAATAAATTACTGAAGCAGATCCACGGAGCCTTGATTCCGTCTGAGGGATCTGGTGCTTACCTTTAAAGATGAAATGAAAGCTTTCGGTTTTGCATATTTTGGGTGGGACTGGAAACATCTGATATAAAAGAGATGAGCCGTACTGGTCCTCAACTTCAGTATTTTCTGGTTTTAGTTGAAATTCCCCCTGCTGGACCTAGGATAGAACCTGTCTCCAAATCCTGCCTTGTTCATTTTGTGACTTTGCTGCAGATGGGTTATTTCCCCCTCCATTTTCATCATCACCTCAATGCATGAGTCCTCTAAGTTGGTTTACAAAGCACACCATAAATAAACACAAAGGAAGCAAATCATTATTATATGTAAAAAATGATGGCAATTTACTTTAAAATGAAAACACCCTTTGAAATGCAAATCTGAGAAGCTAAGGTTATAAAATGTAAGTTATTTATAATATCTGGTTGCATATGGTGCCTATTATTGGGATGGCAACTCCTTAACTGGGGCATCAATACCAGAAAATGGCCATCTTTCTTTTGGTAATCCATTTCACTTCATTTGTTGCAGAACAAACTAGTGATTGGACAGTTGATTCCATCTCACTTCAGTCTCACTGACACTGCATCATAAGTCTATTGTGATCTATTGCATCCATTCTGTTCCACTGTATGTATTTAGGACACATCTTGAGGACACTTCTCTAGACCCCCCCCCCAATAAAACACACACCTCTCAGTGCTCTTAAATGCATTCAATAGTAATATGTGTGGTTTGTCTTCTACCAGAGATCCTGCCCCTGCCTATAGATCACCTACACCTGATGACACATGAGCACTATTCCACTTGTGTATCCCAGAAACTAGTATTTAGAGCAATACTGTATCTGATACTGGAGGGACACCATAGGCAGCATAGATTGTTCACATGAATTCATCTAATGCTCTTCAAAGCCACCCGAATTGTGCTCATTATAATGTCATAACTCTGCCAAAGTGCCTTGGACTGTAGCTGAAGAAAACCACTGAACTCTCAGACATCAGTGCTGGCAGAGTAACTGACTATGCGTTTACTACAAGGGACACATATGCAGTGCACAGGAGCCAGGGATCTGCTTGGCTGGATGACCGATAGCATGATTCCCAACTGCTTGTGCACATAGAGGTTCTCATGAGTGATGATTCATGATGTGGAAGGGAATTCTATGCCTCCCAGCCCTACAGACTCCGTAAGTACAGTATCTGGCTCTTCCTCTTTCAGAGAAGTGTAGGAGGCTCCACATGTTCTCTGTCCTCTCAATGTTTTAGAAGGCCACTCAGTCATGTGGTGAAGTGGCAGTGTCTCCATCATCATGGTGACTAGATTACCCCCAACCACCCCTATGAGACAAAAGTATCCTCCCCCCTTTGCAAACTGGTCAACTATCGCCCAGTTTCAAATCTTCCATTTTTGTGCAAGGTGATTGAGCGGGTGGTTGCTGAACAACTCCAGGCACACCTGGAGGATGCGGACCATTTCGATCCCTTCCAATTGGGATTCAGGCCTCATCATGGGACTGAAACTGCCTTGGTCACGCTGGTTTATGATCTGTGCTGGACTAGGGACAAAGGTGAGAGCTGTTTCCTATTTCTGCTGGATCTCTCAGCGGCCTTTGATACAATCGACCATAACATCCTTCTGGACCGTCTAGAGGGGCTGGGAGCTGGGGGTACTGTTATACAGTGGTTCCGCTCCTTCCTCCTGGGCCATGTTCAGAAAGTGGTGGTGGGGGATGAGTGTTCAGACTCCTGGGTCCTCACTTGTGAGGTGCCTCAGGGTTCTGTCCTCTCCCCCATGCTTTTTAACATCTATATGAAGCCGCTGGGAGAGATCATCAGGGGGTTTGGACTGGGTGTCCATCAATATGCTGATGATACCTAGCTCTACCTCTCTTTCAAATCAGAACCAGTGAAGGCGGTGAAGATCCTGTGTTGGATCAACCGCTTGGAGGCGGTTGGAGGATGGATGGCGGCTAATGGATTGAGGTTGAATCTTGACAAGACAGAAGTACTGTTCTTGGGGGACAGGGGGCGGGCTGGTGTGGAGGACTCCCTAATCCTGAATGGGGTAACTGTGCCCCTGAAGGATCAGGTGTGCAGCCTGGAAGTAATTTTGGACTCACAGCTGTCCATGGAGGCTTAGGTCAATTCTGTATCCAGGGCACCCATCTACCAGCTCCACCTGGTATGCAGGCTGAGACTCAACCTGCCCGCGGACTGTCTCGCCAGCGTGGTGCATGCTCGAGTTATCTCCCGCTTAGACTGCAATGCCCTCTACGTGGGGCTACCTTTGAAGGTGACCTGGAAACTACAACTAATCCAGAATGTGGCAGCTAGACTGGTGACTGGGGCGGCCACCGAGACCACCTAATACCGGTCTTGAAAGACCTACAGTGGCTCCCATACATTTCCGAGCACAATTCAAAGGGTTGGTGTTGACCATTAAAGCCCTAAATGGTCTTGGCCCAGTATACCTGAAGGAGCGTCTCCACCCCCATCGTTCTGCCCGGACACTGAGGTCCAGCGCCGAGGGCCTTCTGGCGGTTCCCTCATTGTGAGAAGCAAAGCTACAGGGAACCAGGCAGAGGGCCTTCTCGGTAGTGGTGCCCACCCTGTGGAACGCCCTCCCATCAGATGTCAAAGAGATAAACAACTACCTGACATTCAGAAGACATCTGAAGACAGCCCTGTTCAGGGAAGTTGTTAATGTGTGACATTTTAGTGTATTTTTTGTCTTTGATGGAAGCCGCCCAGAATATTTGGGGAAACCCAGCCAGATGGGCAGGGTATAAATAATAAATTATTAATAGTAGTATTTTATTGTCTAGTGTTGACTTCTGTTTGATTACCACAGCATCCCACAGAACCACCCACTTCTATCAAACAGCTATTGAATATTCATGTATTTTATTTAAATGAAGAAATCGGTAGTCAAATTGCTTATATATTTGGCTTCTATGGTATTATGTTGTTGTGGTGGTGGTGGTTGATGATGATGGTGGTGATGATGGTGATGATGATGATGATGATGATGCCTCAGGTTTCCTCCCAACAGCTCAAGGTTGCATGCTGGGTTCTTCTTTCCCCTGTTATATCCTCAGAACAACCCTATGTTGCATTTTAGGATCAGAGATGGACCCAAGGTCACCCAGTGCAAAATCTTAACACCCAATCGTTTTCACTTGATGTGAAAATTTCTGGACTAGGGTTTGAGTCAACAACATCTGCTCTGAAACACCATCAGAAGTTCCTCTGAGTTTTTACAAGATCTGTGGAAAATATATGATTTGCTTGATCACCCAATGGAAATCCCAACAGCTTTTTCAACCCTTAGAAGCCACCTGATTCTTTCTCTTTATACTACCCTCCAAATGGGTTTTTGTGCAAACTCAGATTCACTTTCCACCACTGTGATCTCTGGTACAATAATACATGCCGGTATCTTCAGCTTTCAGACCAGTCATATGTAGAAAGATCAGCTTCTTGGAACTGTCTGTGGAGGTTGTGAACCGTCCTTTAGCAGAATCTGCATAAGCTGTGCTGGCCCGATTAATTGCTGAGAGCCATTTGAGTCCCTTTCCAGGAGCTTGATGGACCCAGTGCATCCAGTAGCTGTCTATGTTGAATCCTGATGTTGTACATGTGAGTCGAAGGGACTCTCCAGGTCTTTTCACATCCCCACCAGATTCCACCAGAGAATCTGCATGGACACCTAGAAAGAGAGACAGATTGAGTTACAAACTTTACATATTTGGATTATAAGGGCTTCCTGATAAATCACACCAACTGCATTCCAACCAAAGGGATTAAGTACCTTTGAAAATGAAGAAGCTAAATATGAAATGTATCCACAGAAACATTTCCACTGGATTGTTTGGATGGAAGGCTTTTGTCTGTCTAACAGTATGAGGATATTTCCACAAGCTCAGCTGGAACCCACAGCAAGAGGGCGGCTCACATTTAAAGTGTGGACTGTTCCATTATTTGCATATCCTCCTCTCTATATAATATTTCCCAGAGGAGCTTTTTCAGTTGAAATGCTTCTCAGTCCTTAATGCTTTTGTTTCCATTTGCCTCTATACACATTGCCTTTGTGATTTTCTAAGCAGAACTTTTGGTCTGTCGTATTTTGCCCCAACATTAAGGACATATTTTTTATATATTTTATTCTATATTATCAATATTATAGGATCTCTCCTCTGATTTTTTTTTATGCTCGCCAATGCAAACAACAGAACTCCTGAATTATAATAGAATATCCTTTTAAAATGCCAATGAATCAGGCAATAAAATTGTAGGGAAACAAAAAACAGGAGGTAGAAATAGATGATGAAAACAGTGACAATAGTATTAACATTTCTAAATGGAAATATAAGAGACTACCAAAATATGGAGTCACATGTACATAAGTAGTTTATATGTGATCTTTTGCAATGAAAAGTTATTTTGGTTTATATTTGTATATTCTTAAATTTTGGCAAGCCAGTGGCGGATCTTGGCCTCTCAGATTTCAGTGGTACCCTGTGTTACTCCAAAATCCTGCAACCCCCACCTCTCACCTTCCATTTGACATCATTGCTGTGGCACCTGCTGTGGAGTCCCAGAAGCTCTGCAGCCTTTGTGGCCAAACCTGTCGTGCTCCCTAGATCTCTCTTTGTGTTTGTCCCTTGGCTAAAACTGATGATGTTCCATCTTTAAAAGTTCAGAGAAGCTAATGCCTTACAGACTTATTATGTTGTTCCCCTCAACATTGTACAGTTTTATGATATCTTATAATTACAATAGGTTTTAATGTATATTTTATTGTTGCAAGGAGAACTGATCAGTATTAGACATAGGCAGGAATTGCATTTTTTTGTGTTGTTTTCTTCCCAGCTATTGCACAAATGTGAGCTTTGACGTCTCATCTACACGCTAGCATCAGGAACAGTTGCTGTGGATTGTAGCATTATGATATCTATTTTGTGTGTCCTATCACTATGGGAATTTATTCTGAAAATAAATAGCAAATAAAATTAGTATTTATTCTTTAGGACAAAATGTACTTAACCACCCTGAGACCTGTGGGTATAGGGCAGTATATAAATTCAGTTAATAATGATAATAATAATAATTTGCATTCCCACAAGAACTTGTCTAGCAGGGAAATAAAACCAGGCTAACTTATTTGATGCCAATAGCTTTGGGAACTAGGATAAGTAGCTTCTGCTACCTTTGTGGATAGATCGGGAACTAATGTAGAGAGACTTGATATGTATTTATTTGCTTGTGGTTTATTCAGCACAATCATTTGAACTGAAAGCTCTTCAGTGCCACCTGCAGTCTTTTAATTTATACACACAAAGGTTTTTGTCTGAGCTGGAATTCAACTTCCACCACTGTGTCTCTGGCACAGTAATAGACGGCAGTGTCTTCTGGCTTCAGGCTGTTCATTTGAAGATAAAGGTTGGTGCTGTCCTTGGAGGCAGTGAAACGCCCTTGGATGGTTGGGGAGTAGTAGTTGCTGGATGGGTTGTAATAGTGAACCAGCCATTCCAGCCCTTTTCCCGGAGACTGCCGGACCCAGTTCATCCAATAGCTGCTAAGATCAAAACCTTTCGTGGCACACGTTAACCTCACAGATTCTCCAGGCTTTTTCATTTCTGGGCCTGACTGAGTGAGGACAATCTGTGAACTGGCCCCTGCAGAGAGAAGAGACACGCTGCTTAACTGTGTGCAGTTTAAAGCAAACACACAAAAACAGGTATCACATCAGATTGAAACAGTGATCAAAAGTGGAAATAACTCCCCACACCACTAGTACATATAATAAAGATACAAAAGATTTGACTTACATGGCAACGTGCTTATAATCATGATGAAATGTAACAGCCACAACATTTTAAAAATTATAATGGGAGAGTTGAGGACCTAAATAAATTACTGAAGCAGATCCACGGAGCCTTGATTCCGTCTGAGGGATCTGGTGTTTAACTTTAAAGATGAAAGGAAAGCTTTTTGTTTTGCATATTTTGGGCGGGCCTGGAAACATCTGATATAAAAGAGATGAGCCGTACTGGTCCTCAACTTCAGTATTTTCTGGTTCAGTTGAAATTTCCCCTGCTGGACCTAGGATAGAACCTGTCTCCAAATCCTGCCTTGTTCATTTTGTGACTTTGCTGCAGATGGTTTATTTTCCCCTCCATTTTCATTATCACCTCAATGCATGAGTCCTCTAAGTTGGTTTACAAAGCACACCATAAATAAACACAAAGGAAGCAAATCATTATTATATGTAAAAAATGATGGCAATTTACTTTAAAATGAAAACACCCTTTGAAATGAAAATCTGAGAAGCTAAGGGTATAAAATGTAAGTTATTTATAATATCTGGTTGCATACGGTGCCTATTATTGGGATGGCAACTCCTAAACTGGGGCATCAATACCAGAAAATGGCCATCTTTCTTTTGGTAATCCATTTCACTTCATTTGTTGGAGAAAAAACTAGTGATTGGACAGTTGATTCCATCTCACTTCAGTCTCACTGACACTGCATCATAAGTCTATTGTGATCTATTGCATCCATTCTGTTCCTCTGTATGTATTTAGGACACATCTTGAGGACACTTCTCTCTCCCCCCCCCAATAAAACACACACCTCTCAGTGCTCTTAAATGCATTCAATAGTAATATGTGTGGTTTGTCTTCTACCAGAGATCCTGCCCCTGCCTATAGATCACCTACACCTGATGACACATGAGCACTATTCCACTTGTGTATCCCAGAAACTAGTATTTAGAGCAATACTGTGTCTGATACTGGAGGGACACCATAGGCAGCATAGATTGTTCACATGAATTCATCTAATACTATTCAAAGCCACCCGAATTGTGCTCATTATAATGTCATAATTCTGCCAAAGTGCCTTGGACTGTAGCTGAAGAAAACCACTGAAGTCTCAGACATCAATGCTGGCAGAGTAACTGGCTATGTGTTTACTACAAGGGACACATATGCAGTGCACAGGAGCCAGGGATCTGCTTGGCTGGATGACCGATAGCATGATTCCCAACAGCTTGTGCACATAGAGGTTCTCATGAGTGATGATTCATGATTTGGAAGGGAATTTATGCCTCCCAGCCCTACAGACTCCATAAGTACAGTATCTGGCTCCTCCTCTTTCAGAGGAGTGTAGGAGGCTCCACATGTTCTCTGTCCTCTCAATGTTTTACAAGGCCACTCAGTCATGTGGTGAAGTGGCAGTGTCTCCATCATCATGGTGACTAGATTACCCCCAACCACCCCTATGAGACAAAAGTATCCTCCCCCCTTTGCAAACTGGCCAACTATCGCCCAGTTTCAAATCTTCTATTTTTGGGAAAGGTGACTGAGCGGGTGGTTGCTGAACAACTCCAGGCACGCCTGGAGGATGCGAACCATTTGGATCCCTACCAATTGGGATTCAGGCCTCATCATGCAACTGAAACTACCTTGGTCACCTTGGCTGATGATCTCCGGTGGGCTAGGGACAAAGGTGGAAGCTGTTTCCTAGTTCTGCTGGATCTCTCAGCTGCCTTTGATACAATCGACCATAACATCCTTCAGGACCGTCTAGAGGGGCTGGGAGCTGGGGGTACTGTTATACAGTGATTCCGCTCCTTCCTCCTGGGACGTGTTCAGAAAGTGGTGGTGGGGGATGAGTGTTCAGGCACTTGTGGGGTGCCTCAGGGTTCCGTCCTCTCCCCCATGCTTTTTAACATCTACATGCAGCCACTGGGAGAGATCATCAGGGGGTTTGGACTGGGTGTCCATTAATATGCTGATGATACCCAGCTCTACCTCTCTTTCAAATCAGAACCAGTGAAGGTGGTGAAGGTCCTGTGCGAGTGCCTGAGGCGGTTGGAGGATGGATGGTGGCTAATGGATTGAGGTTGAATCCTGACAAGACAGAATTACTGTTCTTGGGGGCAGGGGGCGGGCAGGTGTGGAGAACTCTCTGATCCAGAATGGGGTAACTGTGCCCCTGAAGGAACAGGTGCGCAGCCTGGAAGTAATTTTGGACTCACAGCTGTCCATGGAGGCTTAGGTCAATTCTGTATCCAGGGCAGCCGTCTACCAGCTCCACCTGGTATGCAGGCTGACACCCTACCTGCCTGCGAACTGTCTCGCCAGAGTGGTGCATGCTCTAGTTATCTCCCGCTTGGACTTCAAGGTGCTCTACGTGGGACTACCTTTGAAGGTGACCCGGAAACTACAACTAATCCAGAATGCGGCAGCTAGACTGGTGACTGGGGACAGCCACATAATACTGGTCTTGAAAGACCTACATTGGCTCCCAGTACATTTCCGAGCACAATTCAAAGGGTTGGTGTTGACCTTTAACGCCCTAAATGGTCTTGGCCCAGTATACCTGAAGGAGCCTCTCCACCCCCATCATTCTGCCCGGACACTGAGGTCCAGCGCCGAGGGCCTTCTGGCGGTTCCCTCATTGTGAGAAGCAAAGCTACAGGGAACCAGGCAGAGGGCCTTCTCGGTAGTGGTGCCCACCCTGTGGAACGCCCTCCCATCAGATGTCAAAGAGATAAACAACTACCTGACATTCAGAAGACATCTGAAGACAGCCCTGTTCAGGGAAGTTGTTAATGTGTGACATTTTAGTGTATTTTTTGTCTTTGATGGAAGCCGCCCAGAATATTTCTGGAAACCCAGCCAGATGGGCAGGGTATAAATAATAATTTATTAGTAGTAGTATTTTAATGTCTAGTGTTGACTTCTGTTTGATTACCACAGCATCCCACAGAACCACCCACTTCTATCAAACAGCTATTGAATATTCATGTATTTTATTTAAATGAAGAAATCGGTAGTCAAATTGCTTATATATTTGGCTTCTATGGTATTATGTTGTTGTTGTGGTGGTGGTTGATGATGATGATGGTGATGATGATGATGATGATGCCTCAGGTTTCCTCCCAACAGCTCAAGGTTGCATGCTGGGTTCTTCTTTCCCCTGTTATATCCTCAGAACAACCCTATGTTGCATTTTAGGATCAGAGATGGACCCAAGGTCACCCAGTGCAAAATGTTAACACCCAATCGTTTTCACTTGATGTGAAAATTTCTGGACTAGGGTTTGAGTCAACAACATCTGCTCTGAAACACCATCAGAAGTTCCTCTGAGTTTTTACAAGATCTGTGGAAAATACATGATTTGCTTGATCACCCAATGGAAATCCCAACAGCTTTTTCAACCCTTAGAAGCCTCCTGATTCTTTCTCTTTATACTACCCTCCAAATGGGTTTGTGTGCAAACTCAGATTCACTTTCCACCACTGTGATCTCTGGTACAATAATACATGCCGGTATCTTCAGCTTTCAGACCAGTCATATGTAGATAGATCAGCTTCTTGGAACTGTCTGTGGAGGTTGTGAACCGTCCTTTAGCAGAATCTGCATAAGCTGTGCTGGCCCGATTAATTGCTGAGAGCCATTTGAGTCCCTTTCCAGGAGCTTGATGGACCCAGTGAATCCAGTAGCTGTCTATGTTGAATCCTGATGTTGTACATGTGAGTCGAAGGGACTCTCCAGGTCTTTTCACATCCCCACCAGATTCCACCAGAGAATCTGCATGGACACCTAGAAAGAGAGACAGATTGAGTTGCAAACTTTACATATGTGGATTATAAGGGCTTCCTGATAAATCACACCAACTGCATTCCAACCAAAGGGATTAAGTACCTTTGAAAATGAAGAAGCTAAATATGAAATGTATCCACAGAATCATTTCTACTGGATTGTTTGGATTTAAAGCTGGTGTCTGTCTAACAGGATGAGGATATTTCCACAAGCTCAGCTGGAACCCACAGCAAGAGGACGGTTCAGGTTTAAAGCGTGAACTGTTCCATTATTTGCATATCCTCCTCTATATATAATATTTCCCAGAGGAGCTTTTTCAGTTGAAATGCTTCTCAGCCCTTAATGCTTTTGTTTCCATTTGCTTCTATACACATTTCCTTTTTTTATTTTGTAAGCAGAACTTTTGGTCTGTCGTATTTTGCCCCAACATTAAGGACACATTATTTATATATATCATTTTATATTATCAATATTATAGGATCTCTCCGCTGATTTTTTATGCCAGTCAATGCTTGTTGAAAAGTGAGCAACAGAAGTCCTGAATTATAATAGAATATCCTTTTTAAAATGCCAATGAATCAGGCAATAAAATTGTAGGGAAACAAAAGACAGGAGGTAGAAATAGATGATGAAAACAGTGATGATAGTATTCATATTTCTAAATGGAAAAATAAGGGACTTCTAAAATATGGAATAACATGTACCTAAGTACAGTGGTACCTCAGGTTACAAACACTTTGGGTTACAAACACTTTGGGTTACAGACTTCGCTAACCTGGAAGTAGTACCTCGGGTTAAGAACTTTGCCCCAGGATGAGAACAGAAATTGTCTGCTGGCGGTGCCACGGCAGTGGGAGGCCCCATTAGCTTAAGTGGTACCTCAGGTTAAGAATGGTTTCAGGTTAAGAATGGACCTCCAGAATGTAACCAGAGATACCACTGTAGTTTATAATGTGCTCTTTTGCAATGAAAAGTTGTTTTGGTTTTCATTTGTATTTCTTTAAGGATTGGCAAGTCAGTGGCGGACCTTGGCATTTCAAATTTCAGTGGTACCCTGTGTTACTCCAAAATCCGACACCTTCCGTTTGACATCATTGCTGTGGCACCTGCTGTGGAGTCCCAGAAGCTCTGCAGGCATTGTGGCCAAACCTGTCATGTTCCCTGGATCTCTCTTTGTGTGAGTCCTTTGGCTAAAACTGGTGATGTTCCATCTCTAAAGCTTCAGAGGAGCTAATGCCTTACAAACTTCTTATATTGCCCCCCCACACACACTCATACTGTACCATTTTATAATGCCTTATTTTACAATTGGTTTTTTTAATGTATATTTTATTGTTGCAAGGAGAACTGATCAGTATTAGACATAGGCAGAAATAGTACTTTTTTGGGTGTTGCTTTCTTCCCGGCTATTGCACAAATGCGAGCTTTGACCTCCCATCTACACGCTAGCATCAGGAACAGTTGCTGTGGATTGTAGCATTATGATATCTATTGACAGATGTGTGTTGTATCACTATGGGAATTTATTCTGAGAATAGACGGTAAATAAAATTATTATTTATTGTTTGGGATAATATGTACTTTGGGACAAAATGTACTTAACTGCCCTGGGACCTTGGTGTATCGCACAGTATATAAATTTTAAAACAACAGCAGCAACAGCAACGACAATGCTTTGCACTCCCACAAGGACTTGTCTAGCAGGAAAATAAAGCTAGGGTAACTCAATTGATTTATTTGATCCCAAGAGCTTTGGAGGCTAGGATAAGGAGTTTCTGCCACTTTTGTGGATAGATCGGGAACCAATGTAGAGAGACTTGATATGTATTTATTTGCTTGTGGTTTATTCAGCACAATCATTTGAACTGAAAGCTCTTCAGTGCCACCTGCAGTTTTTTAATTTAATACACAAAGGTTTTTGTCTGAGCTTGAGTTCATTTTCCACCACTGTGTCTGTGGCACAGTAATAGACGGCAGTGTCTTCTGGCTTCAGGCTGTTCATTTGAAGATAAAGGTTGGTGCTGTCCTTGGAGGCAGTGAAACGCCCTTGGATGGTTGGGGAGTAGTAGTTGCTGGATGGGTTGTAATAGTAAACCAGCCATTCCAACCCTTTCCCCGGAGACTGCCGGACCCAGTACGTCCAATAGCTGCTAAGAGCAAAACCTTTTGTGGCACAGGTTAACCTCACAGATTCTCCAGGCTTTTTCATTTCTGGACCTGACTGAGTGAGGACAATCTGTGAACTGGCCCCTGCAGAGAGAAGAGACACGCTGCTTAACTGTGTGCAATTTAAAGCAAACACACAAAAACAGGTTTCTCGTCTGGATTAACAGAGTGACCCATTGTAGAAGTAGCTCCCCACCCACCCCTATGTATATACAATAAAGATTTTAAAATGTATAACTTACATGGCAATCTGCTTATAAAGAAGAGGAAATTTAACAGCCACAGCATTTTTTTAAAAAGTATAATGGAAGTGTTGAGGACTCAAAGAAATTACTGAAGCAGATATTTGATTCAGTCTGAGGGGGCTGGTGTCAACCTTTAAAGGTGAAATGAAAGCTTTCGTTTTTGCATATTTTGGGTGGGCCTGGAAACATCTGATATGAAAGAGATGTGGTTCACTGGATCTCAGCTTAAACATTTCATTGCTCAACTGATAGTTCCCTCCTGGTTTAACAATCAAGTCATTTCCCCAGGGAACTCTGGGTATTGGAGGTCTGTGAGAGGAATAGGGGTTGCCTCACCACTCTCAACACCCTTAACAAACTACAGTTTGTTTCTCTGGTGTAGCCACAACAGTTTAAAGTGGTTTGATCCTGTGTAAAATATAAAACGCAGATGGAGTGTAGGATAGCATCTTGTGTCTGAGGCAAGTTATCTTCAGATCCTGTTTGTGTTTTTCTTGCATGTACACCACCACCAACACATCACAAGAGTTCTCTGAGTTAATTCACAAAGCATAGTGCAGATAAACACAAACAAAACTAAATGTTAGTATATTTTTAAAAACTTGAAATATTCCCAATTAAATTTTAAAAATGATAACACAAATGGGAAGCTGAAGTTATAAAATAGGTTGTTTAAAATGTCTGGATGTATACAATAAGCTTCACTTGGTCCCAAAAAAGACCATAAAGATGATGCAAATCATTGGGAAGGTGACACCATAACTGGGGTACCAAAAGGGGGGTCCTCTCACTTAAGGTTTTCCATTTCACTCATTTGGAGGAGGTGCTCAGAAGAAACTAGTGGTTCAGCAGCTAATTCTATACCTCAACAATCTCTCACTGGTTCATAGGTCCATAGTGTTTTTTTCTTCTTCTAAAAAAAAATGTTTAGGGATACTCTCAATTTCACTCAAGAAAATCACCATTTTATAGTTTAAATCGGGGGAAAGAAACAAAGTAAATGGACAAATGTACAAAGATTCACAAAATGTTTAGGGGTATGCGTACCCCTGCATCCCTCCAGAAAAAGCACTGGGTCCAATCCACCCTATTCCATTCCATTTCACCCCATCCATTCTGTTCTACTGTGTTTTGGCTATATTTTGGGCACACTTTTTTCACAACATACACATTTCTTCAGTTTTCTTCAACACATTCACTAGTAGAATATGTGTTTTATACTCATCTCTTCTGTAAAATGCTATTTTTCTGTGCACATGAAGAATGCAAAATCTGGAGACATGTATAATCTAACTGATGGTTGTCTCCCTATCCACAAGGAACCTCAAGAGTGCTGGATTGGGTTAGTCCATCTAACAAAACAGGCCAAGCAGAATCCTCTCTGTACTTTGCTGTGAAAAGTGTGAAGTGGCCAGACACTCAGAAAATGGGACAGTCTAATCTCATTTCAGAGAAAGGCAGTGTCCCTGGATCATGTGACTCAAAGAGTAGGTATGTTGGACTTGAAGAAGAAGACAAGTTTCCACTTCAATGAACTGTTGTATCCCTTGGGTATATGGAAACAATATTTAGTTAGGGAGCTAGACTGTGAGACTAAGAAGAGAAACTCTCTCAATTTTAAGTGAAAATTGAAATTGGCTATCTCTTTTGGGTGAATAGCTTAGAAATTGAAAGAACTTCAAACGAAAGGGAGAAAGAAAGAAAGAAAGAAAGAAAGAAAGAAAGAAAGAGGACAAACCGCAGATGAAAAGATTGGGTGGTGCAGGAGAGGGCCTGATGAATGTGAAACATTAAATTTCTGCATCCTGTATTCATCTGTTTCAAAAGAGCAGTTCCTAGACACCTGCTTCCTCTGGTTAAAGGAGATTTCTCTCTCTAGTATCTCCTCTACTTGTGGTTTTGTGGTTTCTATCATTTTCTAAGTACCTGCTGTTCTGTGGTTTTCCTCAGTCTCCACTACCATGGATCACGAGTGCCGCCATCAGCAAGTCATTGGTATAGCTTATGTAACAAAAGGTTGTTTTTCCTCCCTGTCCACTGATTCCATATAAACCCCGACTGGATTCCCATCACTATGCAGTTCTTGTATACCGATCTCTGGCAACGAGTGGGCTGACCAGCAGTAAGACTCCCATCAGATCAAGATAGTTTTATTTGCAGAAACAAACATCCAGAGCAGAGCTTCGCACTCCCTCTCAGCAACGATAGGTGCTCTAGTCTGAATCAGACCCCCGCCCACAACAGGAACTACGGAAGAACCTCGTCTTTCTACCCCTCCTCTTCCGTTCTTCTCCCATCACCAGGAGTGAGGACTGAGAGCCTGGATTGGCCCTTCCGCACTGTCAGTGGACAGAGTTTTTGAGTCTATCTTATTTGTTTGCATCTCGGCTTTGCCTTGGCCCCTTCCAACTTTCCCTCTTCATCAGAGCTAGCAGTGTCTTGCCTGGAAAGGAGGGGCTGTGGACTCTCAGCTCTGAAACTTAACACTTCTCCCTCATCTGCAGAGGCAGCCTCTTGCTTACTTACCAAGGTTGCCTCCGCTGCCGGGTCCTGGGAGCCCATGTTCCTGACATATTGTGCCATAATTAA